GGGGGGCACCCGGCGCCAGGCGCCTTGTTCCGTCGCCGACCGTTACACTTGTGGGCAGCCTTGTGGGTGGGCTCCTCGGCGTGGTCCCGGCTGCGTCGCAGCCTCGCCATATGCGCCCGACCCCAGGGGGAGAGGCCTGACGACACGAGGGGCGGATAGTTTCGGGCCCGGTGCCTGTGCTCGTTCGTGTGTGTGCGTGTGTGGGCCCGCGGCGCCGAGTGTTGGGGCGCGCGCCCCCGCGCGCAGTCCCGCGCAATACCGAGAGCATGAGCGCGCGCGCGTTGTTCCATGGTTGCGGGGCGACCTTGTCTCAGATCTCCTGTGGGTTACCCCCGCCCGCGCCCCCCCCCCCCCGGTGTTGGTCCTGCCCGCCAGGCAGGGCACTGGCCAGGCCCGGGGGGGGGGGGGGGTGGTCTGTCAAGCCGGCTAGGCCCGGCCCGGGCGCCGGTTGCGCACATCCGTTTGGTGTGCATGCATGTGTGGCTGCTTCCCGGCCGCCCCTCCTGGAGGGCGCACGGGGAGGGCCATGAACCGGGCCGGCGGGGCGTGCTGCTTGCCACCTTCCCTGCCCATGCCCGGGCGGGCGGCTGGCTTGGATCTCGCAAGGGTGCTTGCCAAGGCCCGGGCCGGTCTCGATCGCGCTCGGCCGCTCCCGCCTCGGCGCCCGGACTTGTGCCTGCGCTAGATGCTCCCGGCCAATGGGGCGATCTTGTTGAGCTGGGCATTGGGTACGGTAACAGGCAGCTGGTCGGGCCGGGCTTTCATGCCGCTGATCGGCCTCGGCCACGCCCCCCCCCCAGACCCACGCAGCGACGACAGCCCCCCCCCCCCCCGGCCAGGCTAGGCAAATGCCCGGTCCTCAGGCCCTCGGTCTCCCTGTTCCATGGTCGTGGGCCTGAAGCCCTTGTCCTTCCAGCGAGAGGGTATGTCGCCTGCTTCCCTGTGTGTGTGTGTGTGTGTGTGTGTGTGTGTGTGTGTGCGGGCTGGTCGCCCTCCCCCCGCGCCGGGCGCTCGCCCGGGACACCCAGCACGCGTCTTGACTGGCAGGCGGAGAGGTATGGTGGTGGGGGGGGGGGGCGGGGGGGCGGGGGCGAATCCCGATGCTGCAGCCCGGGCGGTGGGCATGCCGGCAGGGTTCGAGCTCCATGTTGAACTTGGGTCTGCTGCCTCCAGCACCTGCTGGCCGTGCTGAACGCCAGTTTGATGCCCCAACCTCCCGGTCCTCGGGCGCCTCCGCGGCCACCTATATAAGGGAGCGCCGACTCGGTCCCCAGTGCCCCGCCTTTTGGCACGAATGCCATCATTTGGTTTGAACATCCCCCTTCTTCCCCATACTTCTCTCTTCTCCTCCCCTACTTGCCACCATGTCTGCCGAGATCATTGCCGAGACCCCCGTTGTCGCCGCCACCACCACCGTCGAGGAGGTCGTCCCCGCCGTCGAGGAGGTTGCCACCACCGTCGAGGAGGTTACCCCCGCTGTGGAGAAGGTTGCTGAGGAGGCCACCCCCGCCGTCGCCGAGGAGGCCACTCCCGCCGTCACCGAGGAGACCCCCGCTGCCGAGGAGGACACCTCCAACAAGCGCAAGCTCGAGGAGGTCGAGGAGACCCCTGCTGAGGAGTCCACCGAGACCAAGCGTGCCAAGGTCGACGAGGAGACTCCTGCCGCCACCGAGTCTGCCGCCACCGAGTCTGCCGCCCCTGAGGCCGCTGCCGAGCCCGAGAAGGCTGTCGAGGCCCCCGTCGAGGCCCCCGTCGAGGCTGAGGTTGAGGCTGCCACCGCCTAAGTAGGAGGCCCCTCCCCCTCCCCCCTCCCCCTCTCCCTCTCCATTCCATGTCCTTGAGTGGTTCGTGCCGCCTCCCTCCCCCCTCCCCCCAAGAATGCGCGCAGCCGTCCCCATCCCGAAATATAGTCCCCCTCAAACTTCCTCCCTTTTCGTGTCCTTGCCCTTCCGAGTGCACATAACCGCCGCTGCCAGTCGTGTGTGTCTGTCTGTCTGTCTCTCTCTCTCTCTCTCTCTCTGTCTCTGTATATATTTGCACTCGGGTATGAGGGAACCACGCCTTTCTCCCCCTCCCCCCCCCTTAATGCCAGGAGAGCACTCGCATGGCGTTTACTCCCCCACCTGTCTCCTCTTCTTTCGCTAACCTTTGCTTCGGTGGCAAAGGATTGGCGTCCAGGGAGAGGTGGTGGTAGTGATGGTGGTGGTGGTGGTGGAGGAATGGTTCACCCCTATTGGTGATGATCAGTGGGGAGCGCCCGTTCGATTGCACTGGAGGCGATGGGAGCTTCCTCCGGGCTGCTTGCTCCAACAAAGACATCGGTACCCCCGACCTGTTTTGTTGGCTTCCCCTCCGAAGAAAGGCAGGCAAAGAAAGAGGCATACACAAGGCCCTATGTAAATGTTTTTCTTTCTGATCGTTCGGTCTTGTATTTGGGCCAATTCTCCGCCTCTCTCCCTGTGTATGTGTGTGTGTCTCTCTCTCTCTTCCTCTCTTTTCTGTCTCCCTCCCCCCTCTGTCTCTTTGACACATGAAGTACCGGGATGCTGTGACATGCAGCAGCAACAGCAGCAGCAGCAGCAGCAGCAGAGAGGGAGAGAGCAGGGGGTAGGGTGAACAACCTTACCGCGGGAGAACAAGGTACGGGCAGATAGACTCGGCGAGCTGGCGGCTGGCAGCAGCGACCACCTGTCGCGACCCAAGGTCGAAGGGTCCCACCCGGTCGGGGTGCTGGTCGCTGGCCGGCGACCCGGCATGGCGGCCAGTGAAGTCGCACACATAGCCACCGGCCTCCTCGACAATGACCTGTCCTGCGGCGAAGTCCTGCAAGGAGGCAAGAAGGAAGGGAGGAAAAGGGGGAGCAAGGGCGCATGTGTCAGAGGCGATGTCGAATGCACCTGGGACAAGGGAGCCCAAGTGGGAGCCGGGACTCGCGAGCGAGAAAGGCCCAACGAGGTCACATTTGTGTACATACCCACTCACGGGGACCAGCCTCGAAGTACATGTCCAGACGCCCACAGGCCACGTAGCACATGTCCAGTGCGGCGGCACCGGCGCGGCGGACATCTCGACCGAGAACAAGCGCCGCGCGCAGGTTCCACAGGGCCGAATCGATGGCCGGACTGCTGGGGAGACTGGGCAGCCCGGGGGCAGGCGGAGCGGCCGAACCCACCCCAGGAGGAGCCATTGCGATGGCCGACACGTCGGCGGCCGTGGTGGTGGTAGGCAGAGCAGGCCCCCCCCGACCGCCCCCCGGCAGGGCATGAGCCTGGTATCTGGGAGTTGGGGTGAGTTGAGAGGGAGAGCAGCGAACAGGAAGGAAGGAAGGAAAGAAGGCAAGGGGGTCTCTTGAAGTAGATCCGAGCTGATGCATGGGTGGCCGGACGTACTGGCCAGAGGCGCGCTCCTCGCCAACGATGTACGCATGGAACCCGGTGGAAATGAGCGACCGGTCTGCCAATGGAGGGGACACCGCAGTTAGGAGGGGGAAGCTCCCTGGGCGAGCACTTGACAATCGAGGGAGACGCACGGATGTCAACGGAGCCGCTCACACGAATGGGGCAGCCGTTGAGGAAGGCGCCACGGCCGCGCTCGGCCGTAAACAACTCATCCTATCACATTCGGGTATGGATGCCATGTTGAAAGAGGGAGGGACGTGGGGAAAATAAAGAGGGGGCGGGGGGGGGGGGGGGGAAAGGCATGAGGGCGTGGGACAAGAAAGAGGAGGCAGGAGGATGGATCGGATACAGGCGTCGGCAGATCACCGCAGATGGTCCAGGACACGCACCAGAGCGGGCGCATAGACAGCGCCAAGCAGAACAGTCTTGCCACGGGCAAAGCCGATCGACACGCAGGTGAAGGGGAACCCATGGGCGAAGTTGGTTGTCCCGTCGACCTGAAAGACCAAAAGTCGGGACCCCCGGTGGACCGGGTGGGCAACATGCTGCATTAGAAAGGGCCGGAGGACAAAAGGGTTGTTGGAGGGATCCCGACACGCACCGGGTCGATAATCCAGGTGGGAGCATCGGTCAGGGTGGACTCCTCGGTGGAGCTCTCCTCGGCCAGGATGGCGTGTGCGCCGGGGCCGGTAGCCGGGAAGCGGGCACGGATGCGCGAGATAATTAGCCGCTCAACTGCCTTGTCGGTCTCCGTGACCAGGTCATTGCCCGAGGTCTTCGAAGCGGCCAGTGACCGGCCGCCATCATCGCCAACGGATCCGCCGAAGGCGCCGAGTGCCGAGGGCGATAGAGCCTTGCGGATGAGGGAGCCCGCCTCACGAGCAAGGAGAGCCACGTCGGCCAGAGAAGGGTCCCCCGGCTGGAGGGTGAAGGGCTGAAGCAATGGGTCAGAGGCTGGCGTGGAAGTGTGGAGCGCGGGTCGGGGAGGGGGGCGGGGGGACCGGTACTGATCTCAGTGACATACAATCGCCATGGTGGGATAAAGCAGAGAGAACGGAGTGGGGGAGGGGGGGAGAGGTGGAGGGTGACAAGGAGTATGCGCGCTGGTGTGCTGGGGACTTGCGTAAGCTCATCAACCCCAGAGGAGACCCTGATCAGGCCCGAGGGGCAGGATGACGGGCAGCGTTGGTTCCTGCTCCGGAAGGACGGGGCAAGGAGTCAGATGCTGGGGGGGGGGGGGGGGGGCAACTCCGAACACACAGACAGGTCCGGATCGCGAGATCCGCCCTCTCTCACTTCAGAAGAACATTAGGACCGCGCGGATCGGTAAGTTGGGATCCTGTTTGGGCCTGCTCCGGGCGGGACGTGCAGCAGGCGGCAAAGGATGTCCTACGCGATAGCTTTTCCGCCTGTCTCTGGTGGCCCGCAGAGGCAGATACAGAGAAAGGGCACGCAATTTTCTTTCCCTCGTTGGGAGGGGAAAAAGAACCACACACATATCACCCCCCTCAGCCCTATTCACATGATTCGGCATTGATCGGCCTCGCGCGGATCTCTCCCCCCCCCCCCTCCCGGCAGACGCCCCCGGGCAAAGAGCACGGGGGCGGCCGGGGCCCGATTCATGAGTCACCTCCGGTAGGCCGACCTGGCCAGGACCATCTACGCGCGGCTTCCCACATCCCCCTCTCGCCCCTTCCATCCTTCCGGTCCTATTTTTGTCTCCTGTTCCCCCTTTCTCAGCCGCCCCCCCCCCCCCCCCCGGCCCCCCTCCGCCATGTCGAATGGCCAGCCCCAGTTGCGTCAGCAGCGAGACGCTGTGCACCGGATAAACTTCCTTGAGCAGGCGTCGCGCCTCTTTTTGAATGGGCCGAACGAGGGTGCGTTTGTGCTGCCATCTCGACCATCCTTCTTCCTTCTCCCACCCTCTTTCTATCCTTTCGCCTCTTTTTACCCCGTCATGAGATGGTTGTCCAAATGCATCTAACCAGATCCCTCGACTTACACCAGTTCCGAGCGCGCCGGCCTTCAAATTTGGGCGAGATCTCCTCTCTGTTTCACAGCGGGCAGTCCTGCGAATGTGTGTGTCTTTGTCCCCTTCCCTCCTTCCCCCCTTCCTCCTCTCGCCTGACACTTTCCCCTGCCACCAGCGACCCCACCTTGAAGCGATCTGTCTGCAAGGGCTGTCGTGCGCCCTTTGACATTGCCTCGACCCTGCGTGTGCGCGTCCGCCGGGCCGGAAAGAAGCGGCGCAAGTCACGGCCAAGCGTTGGGGCTCCCCTTGGCGCCGAGAGACCGCCTGCCCCGGCTGGGAGGTCAGATGAAAAGAATGACTCGACGCCTGTCGACGATCAGCATACTGATGACCCCGCAGTCGCAACTTCCTCCACCACCGGGGGAGCGAGCTGCCTCGGGACAAAGCCTCACCGTGGCACTGGCAGCCAGGCGCCAGTCCCACGACCTCCGCCTCCGCCGCCACTCAGGCTGATCACCAGCTGCAAGACTTGTGGCCATGTGTCTCGGCGCATGGGTCTCGTGGATGCCAAGGGCCAGGAGGTCCCTGCTTCCCGGCATGGCTTCTTCTCCGAGCGTTTCCCCACGGCCACCGATGATGCGCGGTAGAGTTCGGCCGTCGTTTGGTGCTTCTCGTTGTGCGTTTGGACACGGGAGGGGCGGGGGGTATCACGCAAGCCGGCTTCATGAATACACCCTCCGCCGCTTTCCCCCTGGCCACACTTGCATGGTCGCGGGGTGGAGCGTTCCTTTTCTTTTTCTTTTCTTCGGATGAAACATATCTATTTATGAGGCACACACACACATATATGTGTGTGTGTGTGTGTGTACAGTGGTATTGGGCGATGGGAGCAAAAAAAGAGCGAGATAGAAAGAGAGGATCATCGAGTGGCATGTTCCACCAGGAAGGTGGACAGGCCAGCGAAATCCAACTAAACATTACCAGGCCGTGGGCGGAATTCTTGGCCATATTGGCGCTGCCCGCCGAAAGTATGTCCAGCCCGGTGGTGCTGATACTGCCCACCGGCCGAGTATGCCTGATACTGCGGCGGCATGCCAAGGAGGTTGTCAGTCAAGAAGCGCCATACCCCGGCCAGCATGCCGAAGGACAGATACAGCACCAGCGTGGCAACAACCATGGCCAGAGCCAGGCGCAAGGGCCGGGCCAGAGGCCGAAGGTGCACCCGCGGGCTGTACCCCGTGCCCTCCAGTAGCCAGCGCAGCCAGTAGCCCAGCCAGGCTGCCAGGAACTCAAGGACAAAGACCAAGACCGGGTGCTCGCCGACAGCCGGCTCCGGGGAGGGAGCCCACACCGGCTGCCCGGCAATGGTAGCCACCAGGATGAGACCACCAGCTGGCGCCTTGCGCGCAACATCCAGCAGCTGCCCAAACCCAGCCATTAGACCGGCTGTTGGGGGGATGACACCAGCCAGGCCCGGCCGGGTGACGGCATGCCCGGGATGGCAGTAGGAGATGGTGGCACTGCCGGTGGCCGGTGCCTCAAGTGCCACGCCAGGGTCGGCCCAGGGAGCGAAGTTGGCTGGGAGCGGTTCGGTGCTGGTGCCCGCCAGGGTGCGAGACAGCGAAGGCACCGCACCACCGACCACATCGCGATTGGAGAACTTCAACTTGCCAAGACGCGCGCGCTCCATGGCCCATGAGGGGATCTGACCGGTGGCTGGATCGGCCGTGGCATATACCGCAGGAGGCCGGGCCTGTTGCTGTGCCTGCTGCTGCGCCTGCTGCAGGAGAGCCAGCTGGTCGAAGGGCCCGGCGCCCAGGCCACCAGACCCGGGCATACCGGCTGGTGCCCCGGCGCGAGCCTCCTCCTCAGGATCCGGAGGAGCCAAGCCGGCAAACAGCGTACGCAGCTGGTACTCCGCCTCGACAATGTACTCGTGGCGACGCTGGTCGGCCTCGGCCGGGCCTTGTGGCGCGGTGGTGGCCGACATCGCGGGGGTGGCAGCGGCAGCCATGGCGCCCGAGGCAGTGCCAGAGCCCGCGGCCGGGTCGGCTGCACTGAGCCCGGCAGCCAAGCCACCAAGGCGCCGACGGCCAGGAAGCACAGCCGGTCGGCGAGTGACCAGGCCACGGGCCTCGCCAGCGCGAAGGATTGCATGCAGCATGGACCGGAGATGCTCGACAGCTGGCTGACGCTCGGCCGTGTAGAATGGCACCACCAGGCGAATCGTTTCATCGGTGTCCAGAGCACCAGGATCACCGCGGGCGACGGCCGGCGTCAGGGCATGACCGGCCCGGAGGCGGAGCTGCTCGTGATGCAGCTGCCAGGCCCGCTGAACAGTGGCCACCTCGGCCTGAGTGATCGCCCGCTGCAGGGCCAGGTCGCTGCCGAGTTCATGCGCCCAGATGGCCAGGCGCTGAGGATCACTCCCTGGAGCGGCGGCAGCGGCGGCCGTGTGCATCGGCGGCGTGGCGATCAAGTGGTTGAGCGACTGGGAGGCCAAGAAATCCCGGGCAATGCGGGTGTACAGGGCCAGGTGCCGGAAGACATAATTGTACCAGATGGGTGACAGTTGCTGTGGTTGTTGATGCTGCTGCTGCTGCTGCTGCTGCTGGGTCACGGTGTCGGATCCCGCAGCCGATGCAGCCGGGGCGGTATAGCGCCAGGGCCGCAAGAGCGAAATCCAAACCGAGAAGAGTTGCTGGAAAATACGATCCACAGCGGCGGCATTGGCCTCGATGCTGGGAGAGACCACACCGCCAGTCGAGGACAAGCCAAGGCCATGTCCAGGGCCAAGGGCGGAGAAGGACCCAGCCCCGCGACCGGCCATGGTTCCTGCGAAAGTCCCATGGTGCAGGCCCATCCCCGGGGCCCCGAGGCCAGTTGGGCCAGTTGGAGCTGCCATGCGGCCGTAATTCCGCGCCACAGCTCGAATGGCAAAGCAGCTGCCAATCAGCTCACCGGTGCGCAGCCAGGCCGCACTGAGCCACGTCTCCTCCGGGATGTGCAAGGTCCCAAGCTGGGCCACCCGGGCGTGGTAAAAGTTGGTCGTGTGCAGGACAAAGAGCGGCAGCAGCTGCGCCAGCAGCGGGGTCGGCACGATGAAGTCGCGCGGTGGCGGGAGGGTCAGCTGGTCGGTGCCCAGAGCCGGAGCGGCGGCGGTCGAACGCGTAGTTGCCGGCAGCCTGGCCGCCGCATCACCAGCAAAGTCCAGCGCAAAGGCCACACCGGGCCGAGAGATTGGCCCCGCAGCCAGGGCCGTATGCACCGGATCCCGGAGGGTGTTCTGGCCAACCCAAAGCTCGGTCAGCGATCCGAGGAAGAACTCCACCATGTGCTGGACCTCGCCGGGATGGCTGCGGAACTCCCTGAGCAGGGCAAGGTGCGCAGGTGGGTAGGCAAAGCGGGTACACGCGGGTCGGGGGAGGTTAGCAGGATAGTTGGCAAGGGGGAAAGAGGGAAGGGAAGGAGGAAAGAAGCCCCGGAGAAGGAAGAGCAGCAAAGACAGTGGGGGGGGGGGGGGGGTGTTGCCAATGGCTGCACGCTCGACGCACTGGATGCTATGGATATTGGCACGGGAGGCTTCGACCGAGCCAGCCACAGGCAGCATGAAGGCCAGGTACTCCCGAATGAGGGTGTAATAGATCTGACTGACATTGGAAGTCGGAGTGCCAGACATGCCCGGGATTGCCGGCACACCGGGGGGCTTGGCCCCGCCGGTCCAACCGGACGAGAAGTCCATGTAACTCTCGAGGCGCTCGCGCACCTCGGCCGCCTGGAACATCATGCGATCCACCACCGACGAGAGGGCGCCGCCAGTTTGAGGGGCCTGGCGATATGGCTGCTGGGGCATCTGCTGCTGTGGCTGCTGGTACTGGTACGGATACTGCTGGAAGCCAGATGACTGGCCATAGCCGGCACCGTAAGGGGAGTGCCGAGGGAGGATGGCATGGTACAGAAGATAGTAGATGAAAAACTGGAAAATGTCTAAACGTTTGCAGGGTGAGAGGATCGAATGTGAGTAATTGGGCGATGTGACGGGGCGCCCGGTGTATATGCGTGCATGTGTGTGCGTGTGTGTTTGTGCGACGAACTCAAATGCACCCGGTTCTGGCCGGGGGTATGGAACATCCGGAAGAAGCCCCGCGTGCTGCCAGTGTGGCTGATCTCCTGGCGGACGGAGTACTATGGGCAAACATAGGGGTGGCAAGGGGAGGGCGTATGTCAGGGCAAGATCCCAGGAAGGCAGGCGGAGAGGACGAATGCCGGACATACCGGGAGCTTATCGGTATGGATCTCATAGAGTGCGGCACCGGAGTGAGAGATATGTTGCTGGCCGGATGGAGGGGCATCCGGGTCGGAAGACAAAGCCGAGCCCCCGAGGCCCCCAGCCGAGTTCAGGTGCTGGCTGAGAATGACACGGAAGAGGGGCCCCGAAGGGAGCAGCAGCAGCAGCAGGCCATGCGTCTCGCTGGGCGAGAGGGCATGGTCCAGCAGAGCACTGAAAGGGACACACATACACACCCATCCCCACAGGCATGGGCGGGTATGTCCAAAGGAGGATGCAAAGGGAGAAAGAGAGAGGTGAGTACCAGGACTTCGAGAGGGGGAAAGAGGCTGGCGCAAATGTAGGCCGGCTTGTATATATATATATGTATATATGTATGTGTGCAGGGTGCGCATGTGTTGACACGTACCGCCGAGATTCAGTGCCAAACAGCGTCCCCAGGAGGCGAGGGAGAAAGCGCTGGAAGTCGGACGCGTCCTCCGACCGATTGAGGAGCTGCAGCATGGGCAACCACAGGATGCGGCACGGCTGGTGGTCAGGATTCCAAGAGGGGGAGACTCCATGCATGAGCTCTCGTTTGGGAGGTGGATGATAGAGGACGCACACGCTGGAGGTAGGCACCAAGCTCCGACGTAAAGTCGGTGGTATTGTACTGGAGGAGGGCCTCGAGGGTCTTCATGGCCGGCGGTGGTCCCGGCCCGTGGTCGACCAGGTAGCGGGGTTTGAGCCCAGAGAAGGGATCGTGACGAAGGAGGGAGGGGGAGGTAGGGGAAGAGAAGGGGAAGGAGGGAAAAGGCTTGAGGCGGTGTTGGAGTGAAGGGTGAAGGGAGAGGGAGAGAACAGTAGGAGGGGGAGTAGAAGAGGGAAGGAAAGCAAGATGATTTGCGGCTGGATTGAAGGCGCCTTTTGGTGGGTAGGGTTTTTTCCCCCCCCCCCCCCCCTCCCCCCCCCCCCCCCCCCCCCGTCTTTCCCTCACATGCACATGCACATGCACACGCACGCAGCCCAGACGCGACGAGAGCATGGCAGGAGGTACTCCTCGAACATCCCGAGCCCGGCGGGTCTAGTGTGTGGCTGCGTGGGGTCGTGTTTGTGTGCGCGAAGTGTGTCAAGGGTGGAAAGTGTGTCGGATGAGCATTGGAGGCACAGTAAATCGGCGTGTTGGTGTGTGGCCGTATGCGGGACAACGGCGCGTGTGCGCCGGCACGCCATCCCCCCTGCGGGCCGGTGGCGGGAAGCCAGCCTCCGCCCCTTCAGTTGGGATCTCCATGTGAGTGGCGGACGGCATTCTGCCTTTGCAGATCAGAGATATGGACCAGCCTACTTACGGGCTGCACGTGTTAGTGATGTCCCGTGGTGAAACCGGCCATTTGCCGAGCACGCTCCAGAGCCAGTGTTGCCGAGGATTCGGCTTGCGGATTTCCTTTGCCGCTCACCCGGGAGCAGTGAGTGGCCTCACCATCGGCAGTGGTTCTCCCTGCGCGTTTCGGGGGTGGGGGGGGGGGGGGGGGGGGGGGGAAAAACCCCGGCCCCGGCCCCGGGGGCCCGGGCCCGGGGGGGGGGGGTTTTTCCCCCCCCCCCCCCCCCCAGGGGGGAACTCCCCCAGGAAATCCCCCCCCCCCCCCGCGCCTCGGCCCCCCACGAAGGGGGACCGATCCGCCCGCCGCGGGGGAGGGGGGGGGGAGGTTCTGACGATCGCGTTCTTTGATCAAGGCGGATCGCGGCCCCCCAGACATGTTGCCCCCGGCACCGAAGTAGACTCTACTATTGGAGGGGCACTTTTCATGGCGGAGGTCTCCATCAAAAGTTGCCCGCCCACTTGTGGTAAGCGGCTCCTTCCATACCACTCCTCACTTCTCCCAGCCTCCCTCCACTTCCCCTGCTCTCTCCCTCTCCCCCTCCCTCTATCGCTCTTCCTCATCTCCTCATCTTTCTGCTCGCGCCCCCTTCCTCCTCAGCTCGCCGTCGGGCCCGGCCGGGTGTGTGTGTCTGCGTGCACCCCCCTCCATATCCATAGCACGAGAATGTCCAGTATTTTCTCCAACAGCGCGGGACGTTCAGAGCATGGCTTCGATCTTCGGGCCATTCTCCGGAACTGTACGTGCCATCCAACCCCTTGCCCTGACCCACCTCCGTTCCTTTTCCGCTGCCAGATGCTCCTCGCATGGTAACACGCTCCCCCCCTCACCTTGGTCCGGAATCCGATAGACATTGTTGAGAAAGTGATCTTCGGTGGTGCTCCCTCTGCCACACCCACCTGGAAGGTGTTGGTCGTTGATGATCTGACGGCCCGAATTCTCAGTCACTGCATGAAAGTCAGTGACTTGACCATTCACGGAGTGACGGGTGCGCACTGTTTAGCTCGTCCTCTCGTCCTCTCGTCCTCTCGTTCTCTTGTTCTCTTGTTCTCTTGTTCTCTTGTTCTCTTGTTCTCTCGTTCTCTCCCCCCCCCCCGGCCTATGGCCGATATCCTGCTGACCTCGTGTGCTTCTGCCCCTCCAGTGATCGAGAAAATCCAACTCCAGCGCAAGGCCTGGCAGGACCAGGAGGCCGTGTACTTCCTGCGACCGACCACGCAGAATGTGGAGTTCTTGCTGAAGGATTTCCCCGAGAACCGCGGTATCACCGTAAGCAAGCGCCTCTATGCAAGCGCCCGGGTGTACTTCTCCGCCGGTACGCGCTCCATGCAAAGCACCATCACGGTCTCCTCATGTCCCTTCCTTCACTTGACTTCCCCCCCGTTCTCCCGCTCACTTTCCAGCTCTCATAATCGTGTCAATGCTCACCATGTCCTACCCGCCTCCCTTCACGCATCAGAGCTTCCCCGTGAGCATCTTCGGCGTATCAGCGAGAGCAAGGGTCTTACGCCGTATATTCGCGCCCTGGCTGAGGTCCCATGCAACATGCTGTGTACGCGTGCCAACTCGGATCCTGCCCCCCCCCCCCCCCCCCCCCCCCCCCCCCCCCCCCCCCCCCCCCCCCCCCCCCCCCCCCCCCGGGCAAGCACATGTGTCCCACTCTCCCTTCGTCCTGGTTCCTCCCTGGCTCCTCCCCTCCAGCCCTGTCCTAACGTGCCCTAGCCTTGGAGTCGCATGCATTCATCCTGAATACCGCCAAGCCTGGATACCCGGATGCCTTCTGGCAGACGGTCGAACGGTCGCCGTACGACGCCCTGTCGGAGCTGATCAGTGACAACACCACTAAGGCTGGCAGCCCGGTGCCGGATAACCGGCGCCGGTATCAGTCCTCCTTCCTGCGTCTGTACCAGCCCGGAGCGCCAGTGATCGCCACACAGGAACTTGAACGCCAGGCCGCGCAGCTGGCTTCTGTCTTTGCCCTGATGAAGGCCTACCCGCTGATTCGCTTCGCTCGGCCGCCGGCTTCGGCGCGTATCTTCCAGCAGAGCCCCTACAGCATGACTCAGGCGTTTGCTCAGGCGGTGCAAGCTCGGCTGGATTCGATGGAGTCCCTGAATCCTGGGACTTTTGTGCGTGAACCTCCCTGCTTTCCTGCAACCCTGACGCGTTTCGGAATTGCTCGCCTTTTTCGGTGGCCTTTTTTTTCTCTCGGCTCTTCTTGGGTTTCCCTCTGCCCGACTCCCCGCTCCGCGAACGCCCTGCACCCCTCGGCTCTGACCATCGGAATCCCCCTTCCAGGCTGTTGGTGCCCCGGTGGATCTGGTGATTGTCGACCGAACAATCGACCTGTACGCACCGCTGCTGCACGAGTTCACCTATCAGGCCATGACGCACGACCTCCTCGGGCTTGAGGATCGCATCCAAAACAAGACGCACTCCATTTCCCAGCGCAAGAACGAGTCGGGCAAGCCATCCACCGGTTCGGTCTTCTTGCTGACAGAGGATGACCCGGTGTGGAATTACCTGCGGCATCGGCACATCGCCGATTGCCTGCAAACTCTGCCGACGGAGTTCCGGCAGTTCCTCAAGGAGGATGTTGTCGCTTCGCATCGCGTCGACCGGCAAATGGGCAACGACTCGGGCTCTTTGGAGCTGGAGGACATCAACAAGCTGATGCGTCAAATGCCGCGCTATTCGTTGCAATTGTCGAAGGTGTGTGTGTTCCGCGATGCTGCCTTTGTCTGAATGCTGCTCGCTGCATCGTGCCCCGGAGCCTAATTTCCCTCCCGCTGCCCCGGTTCCCCCCTCGTTCCCCTCGGCTCCCTCGGCCCCTGCTCGCGGTTCTCGTCATGCTCAACGGTTTGCACGACAGTTTGCCATCCACATTGAGCTCTTGCATCTGAACATGAAGAATTACACCGATCTGGGTCTGGAGGCCATCGCGCTACAGGAACAACAGCTAGCCCTTGGCCATGACTACCATGATGACAAGCCGCTCACGGCGTCCGGCATGCTGGATGCCATCACCCGAATTGCCACCAACCATTCGGCATACGATGGGCAAGTCCGTCGTCGCATGCTGCTGTTGTATGCCATCTCGATCTTCAACAATGCCCTGATGGCGCAGCACAATGCCCAGAGTGTGACGGCCGCCTTCGGCAAGACCATCTCCTCGGCACTGGAGAACTCCCTGTCGACCGATGAGCTGAGGCTTATCGAGAGCCTCAAGTACATGGTCAACTTGACAAACCTGGGCCCCGGACAGGTGTGTATCCTTCTTCGCTGGCTATCTCCCCTGTGACCCCCCCCCCCTCTCTCTCTCTCTCTCCCTCTCGCCTTCTCTTTCATCCCTTGATCGATGCAAGTCCATCAGCTTCTTTCCGTCCATCTGTCTTGCCCTATGTGGCATGGGTCCATTTGCTCCGATGCTTACTCTCCTGTGGAACCCATCGCAATATGTGGATTCATGTAGACCATGCCCGGCTCCACCACCACCACCAAGAGCTCCGGCTGGGGTGGAATTGGCCGGTCGAATCAGCCCACCGCGGCCGCGGTCGACGCCTCTGGCGACCTGTCGCAGAAGCCCTATCCGCCGGTGGAAGACCAGCGTCGCGACTTCCATGGGAACTGGACACAGCCTATCTCCACCCCTCGCGATGCGGTGCATCCCTTCCGCCCGGAGGCACAGTCGTACATTGTGTCGCAGTATGTCCCGCGCCTGAAGCGCATGTTGGCGGTATGTGGCTTTCTTACTTCCCTCGTTTTGCCTGCTTTTTATCCTGCCTCTCGGTTCTTCCGCCCTTTGCGACTCTCATCTTGGGGTTCTGCTGGCTGACCTGTCATTTTTCCCTTCCCCCCCGCGATCTCTCTCTCCCTCGCTCTCTCCCTCGCTCTCTCCCTCGCTCTCTCCCTCGCTCTCTCCCTCGCTCTCTTTATCTTCCGACACCTCTAGCGCTTGGACGATCCGCACTCGGACTCGCCCTTCGCGGTGCTCGATTCGAGCCGCTCACACGAGGCAGCCGCAGCCGTGTCGAACCGCATTGCGCGGGAGAAGGCCCTCAGCCAACCGGACAATTCAAAGTCCGGGGCCAAGTCGGGTGTGTCGCTGCGGAATTCCTCGGCCCGGACCAGCTGGTTCACTGGCGGTGGCAAGGAGGACCCAGCGGCCGGGCGCGGTACCGAGGGCGAATCTCTGGCCGCGGCCCTGCCATCGGGTGTCCCTGCAGCGGAGCGCAACAAGCCCGTGCGCACGATTGTCTTTGTCCTTGGTGGGGCCACATATTCGGAGTTGCGAGCCCTCTATGAGGCGTCGCAGACATCGATGTCGGTGTCAGCACCGGCCGCCGCTGCGGCCGGGCGCACTCGTCGTGAGTTTGTCCTTGGCACCTGGGACTTTGTGCTTCCCTCGGGCATGCTCCAGGACCTGAGCCTTCTCCGGATGGAGTGAAGCCACTCGCGATGATGCGCCGGGGTGGGTGCTTTATGCGGGATTCCTCGGTTGCCAAGCACATCCACACATACAGGCATCCGTCCTTTCGACAATTTGGGGGGGGGGGGGGGAGACTCTCCGTGCTTCCCTCCTTCCAAGGGGCAGTGCATTTTTGAGTCCTTCTCTTGTCACCCTGCCTGTGTCGACTGAAATAGATGGCTACATTGGTATTAGGCGAGGCGCCGCCAGCGTAAGAAAGATAGGCGCCCGGAACAAGAAGAAGCCCAGACGGGTGGAGATACAGGGCAGCAGTGCTTCCTGACTGACCCATCCCCGCGCACTGTGGACGAGTTGCCCTCGCTGTTTTTTTTTTTTCCCTTTCGCCCCCTTCTCACCTACTCCACAACCCGCCCCCCTGCAAATAGACACGCAGCATCAATATATCCTCCAAGGGATAAAGGAATGTGTATATGGTGGGATATTCTACAAGGACACGGTGCAGTGTATGTTGTGTGGGTGTGCGGGCGTGTGGGTATGTGGGTGTGTGGGTGTGTGGGTGTGGGTGGCTAGGTCGGGCCGAGGATTGTCGGCGCACAGTCAACTGTGCGAGTGACGACAAAGGAGAGCGTCGCTTGCCTCCCCCCCGTCCCCCGAGGCACGAAAAAGATGCACGCGTGCATGCGCACGGAGGACCATCATTTGGAAACCCGGCTCACTTGACAGGCACTATTCTCGTTTGCAAGTGTCATGGAAGTAAACCACGATGAGGGCCAGCGGAAGGGGGGGAATAATAGGAGGAAGGTCCCGCGGCCGGACACAGGCGCAGGGAGGGGACAGGGAGCGGGGAAGGGGGTCAGTCTTGAGTCTCGGGGACGCGCTTGCGCGTGTTTCTCACCAGTGTGCCTTGGGGATGGGGGAATTACAATCGAGAACTGCCCTGCTCGACTTTGCGCTCTTTCTTTTAGCTCTCCGGCCCCCTGCCTGCCTACCTGCTGCTTGCCCTCCTCCCCATGCCTCTCTTTCAGACAAAGTGTGTCTTTCTCTTTCTCTTTCTCTCTCTCTCTCTCCCCACATTGACAGGCAAATACGACGTGTGGGTGGTGCGTGCGCGCGCGCATTCATCACGCCAGGGACACAGAGAAGGTCGTCCTGCAGCTCGCCCCCTCTGTCCCCTGGGGCTGCTCACGTCCCCCCACCCCCCCGCCCCTTGCGCGCCTCCCTGTGTCTCTGTGCATGGGGGAGGAGAGGAGAGGGCGGCATCGAAGCGCGTGTGGTACGGCGCGCCGAGAGGGAACACACATTGCACACTGACACTTCTCAATGTCCCACACTGTCCCCTGCCCCTGGGAGGGAGGGGGGAGGGGCGAGGAGGGAGACCAGAGGGGACACGCACCGGCCTGGATGAAACACGCCGGCGCTCAATATTGCGGCCCGGCCGTGTCCTCCAGCGGCGGCGGCTCCACCGCCAGTGGCCGGCGCTCAAGGGAGAGATCCTCATTAGAGAGCATCATGGAGGGGGGACGAGAGGGGGGCTTGCTGGCGGCACCCAACCCGGTCGCTTGGCGGGCGGTAACAACAGACGGGATAGCCGAGTCGTTCGCACCATTTGGCAGGGCCAACTTCCTGGATGGGGACTTCCCCGGGGAGCCAGCTGCCTTCCTGGAGGGGGATCTTTCAGCCCCGGTGGCGGCGGCCGCGCCGCCACTCCCGCCGCCGCCGCTGCCGCCCGCGCCGCCGCTGGTAGACATCGAGTTCTTGGCGGCCGCGCCGCCAGGTGTCCCAGTGACCTCCTCCAGCCGGGATGGCTGCTGGAGACCCGGGGATGTGGTTTTGATGGTGTTCGAAAAGTCCGATGGCGACCGGAGATAGGGGTCGTATTCCATGCCGCCGGGTGGATCTCCACCGGGGACCGCAGAGACCACCGACGGTCCCCCGGCGGATCTGGAGGCCGCGACCTCGGTGTCCCCAGGATCGGTGCCGGTCCAGTCGTCATAGCCGGAGAGGAAGCCGGTCTCCGTGTAGAGAAGCAAATTTTTGTCGGAATTGCCTGCTGAGGGGTTGCCGCCTCGGCCGCCGAGGTCTGCGCTCCCCCCACCAGGGCTAGTTCCTCCCCCGCCGAACAGTTCGCCATCCATGTCGTCGTCGCCGCTTTTGGTGATCTCATCGACACTTCGAAGGTCACTCGGGCGTCGGCCATTCGGACCGTGTGGCCTTCCGGCGAGCGCGTCATCCTCCGGGCCAAAGAGGCTGCCAGAGGGATCCCCAAGACCGCCACTTAGGCGACCGGAGCCCCGGGCACTGGGCTCATTGATCTGGTGGTCCTTCTTCGGGGGAGGGATCCCGGCTGGGGGTGGCGACCCGGCAAACCAGCGAGCGCCTGGGTCACCCGGGCCGCCGGGCCCACCACCAATCCCCGGACTGGCTAACCCGCCGCCAGGGACACCCATATCGGGGCCGAGATCCAAATCCAGGTGGAAGGGGCCCGGCCGGTTGGCCTGAGATTCGGCCATGCCCGGGCCGGTGTCATAGACTTTGGGATTGTAATCCAACATGCTCGGCTGGCCGGTGGGATCCGACACCGAGCCGGCCGGATCATCGCCAGCAAGGAAAGCCCCTGGCTCCTGGGGGAGGAGATAGCCATCAGGGCCGCCCCTCGCCGGGGGGCTGGACAGGCCGCCCGGATGCATCTGGCCACCAGCAGGAGATTGGCGATGGGTCCGGTGCTCGGTCGCCCCCTCCTGCGAGTGGCCGCCCGTGGTCAGCATGTGGGGCTGCTGGTACAGCTGTTGCTGGTGCGGGGCCGGCTGCTGGAGCGGTTGTTGCATCAGCGCCTGATGGTGACGAAGGTGCAGATGTGGGTCTTCGCCGGTGGCGAGATCCGGGAAGTAGGACTCCCCGCCTCCGGCTGTCGACCCGCGGCGAGTCGGGTCCCCGCCGGGGGCCAGCTCCTGAGCCCCATACGGGCCGCCGGCTCCCTCATCGACGCCGGGGCCGGACTGGAAGAACTTCTCCATCCCCCGAAGCCCGGCATCCGGAGGGGCACCCCCCGCAGCATCCAGACCGCCCTGTGAGATGTACCCGTTGCCGCCGTTTCCGTTGGCAAAGTACCCGGCGGTGCCCGGCGGCTCGAAGAAGTGCATTTGCTCGCTTGCACTCGGGCGCTGCCACGGCATCCCGGACGCTGGGGTCTCGGACGCGTGCCATCCGCCCGGCCCGGGTCCCGGAGCACCATAGTGCTTGGCCGACAAGTCGAAGCCTTGCATCAGGTGCTGTTGCTGCGAGGACTGCTGGAGCATGTGCTGTGGCTGTTGCTGTTGTTGCTGAAGCTGCTGCTGCTGCTGCTGCTGCTGCTGCTGCTGCTGGTGGGTGGAAGGGTACTGCGGCTGTGGGAACTGGGACTGGTACTGGCCTTGCGGCGGCTGTTGTTGCTGCTGCTGCGGATGCTGATGCTGGTGGTGTTGCTGGTGCGGGTGGTGTTGGTGCGGCGGCGGCGGCTGCTGCGGCTGCTGCGGCGGCTGCTGCTGCGGCCGTTGCTGCGGTTGGTGGAACTGGGACTGATGCTGGCCCATGCCAGCCAGGTGAGGATGACCTAGATGGAAGCCGGAGCCCGGGTGCCCGTGCGAATGCAACATCGGCTGCTGGGAGTGTGGTGGGCCCGCGTGAGGATGTCCTCCACGCGGGCCGATGACTCCAGCATGGCGGAAGGGACCGGCTCCGGTGCCGGGTGCCACCCCGACAGGGGACGTGTCGGCCGTATCCGGCCCCTCGGAGGATCGGTAGGTCGAGGAGGGCGGCGGAGTAAGCATGCCCCCCCGGCTGGTGTAATAGGCGGCGGCGGCCGCTGCCGCCGCCGCCGCCGCCGCAGCAGCAGCCGATGAGCCGTCTTCCGGCATGTACAGCCCCTGCTGCTTGTCGGAGCCTGGTCCAGGCATCATCATGGGTGGCCCGGAGCCATATTCCGGTCCCGGAGGGCCGCCGAGGCGACCGGCTCCCGGCAGGTAGCCTGCATTGGGATCGACCATGCCATAGCTGGGCCCACCACCGGCGAGGTTGTAGCCCGGCATGGGGCCCGGCCCTGCACCGCCCGGGCCGCTGGCCATCCCGTGGGGAAGGGATCCCCCTGCTGGACGGTGGCCGGCCCCGTCGCCCGGCCCACGAGCGGCCATCCCCCCGCCAAGCCCCGAGCCATCCATCGGATTTTCGGAAGGCAGGCCCAAGTCCAAGTAGAGGCTCGTGTCGTAGGCGGCGGCGGCGGCGGCGGCGGCAGCTGCCTGCTTCGCAGCGGCCGAGCGCCCACTGCCATCCTCCCCGGCCGAGCCGGGAGAGGTGGCCGGGGAAATGACGCGCGAGGCGTTGCCCCCGCCACCGGGGCCGGTGACGCTCAGCGGCGGGCCGGATGGGTAGCCATAGTGCCCGCCCCCCAGGTGAGGAGCATGGGCCGGGGCCAATCGAGCATCGAGCATGACCCCCTCCGGGCCGGGGAAGTAGAACCCCATGACCCCGGGACCAGCCCCGAAGAGCGCTGATGGATGGGGACCCGATGCCGGGCCTCCACCGCCGGCGGCAATGGACTGCCTGGCGGCCTCGAGCATCATTGGGTCGGCTCCTCCTCCGGGTGGATGGCCCTCCGACCCGGCCGGCCCGGGCTCCTTCTTCACGGGCTTGCGAGCCAGCTGCGAATCCGGCTGCTGCTGCTGCTGCTGCTGCTTTGAGGCCTTCTTGGTGCCGGCGGCCAGGGACAAACCCCGCTTGAGGGGCGACGAGGAGGGCGAGCTACGGCGCTTACGATGCTTGGTGTCCCCGCCTCCCGGGGAGCCGGGCTCGGCCCCGGCGGTGGCTGAGCCGGCCCGCTCGCGGCCTCCATCCTGCCGCGGTGGCGGGTGATTGTGCACTCCCTCATAACTGGAGATGACTTGGCCATAGCCTCGGCGGATCTGCTTCTTCACAGGGCATCCTTTGGTCGTGCAGCGATAGTATGCGCGGGGGAAGGGCGCCCCGCGAACGGCCTTCTGTCCATACTTGCGCCAAATGTACCCGTCATCCATGGCGTCGATCATGGACGCATCGCTGGCAACCACCAAGCGCGTGGTATTCACTTGGGCTGCGCCCTCGTCACCGGCACCGGAGCCGCCGGCCCCGTGAATGCCGGCCGCGCCCGGATTGCTGGCGGTCAGGAAGAGGGCAGGGGAAAAGGCAAACCCCGGCTCGGTTGGCGCCTGAGCAGTACCGCCAGCGGGCAGGGCACGAAGTTGAGGAAAGAGGGGCGTCGCATACGAGGCCAGGGAGAAAGCCCAGTCAGGGGAGAGGAGCCATGGAGGTGCAGGTGGGTCAGAAAAAAAAACCCGGCGCTGGAAGGACCAGGCACAGCGCGAGAAAGAAGGAGCAGGAGGTAGAGAGAGAGAGAGAGAGGGGGGGGGGGCGCGAGGGGAGAGCGGGGAGAAAGCCAGATAGGTGGTAATAGGGGGAAGGGATTGACGGGCGCGAAGCGGGCAGGGTGGATGCACCATTTGCCCCTCGCTGGCAACACTCTTGCGGAAGCTGGTCTGGTCGTGAGCACTAAGCCGGGTGAGCTGCGGCGCATTGTGGTTGTGCTGCCCGCGATAGACGGAGCTCGTGAGGCGCTGGAGGAGGTGTGAGGGGCACCGGACGCGGGCGGCAGGTCAGCAAAAATGCGAAAAGCGCTGAATTGGAGGGGCGAAGGCAGCCGCCCGACCGAAGGCGAGGCACTCGCATGCGAAGGAAAAGCCTACCTGATCCCCGAGGACCATGACCTCGATTTGCTTTTTGGCAGGGCACCCGGGACCGGTGCACCGGAAGTAGGCCTTGGGGAAGGGACTCGACCGGCGTTGCTTCTGGCCGTACTTCCGCCAACGATAACCATCCTCGTGGACGCCCTCGGCAGCGGCGGCCGTTGCCCCGGCAGCCAGGGAGATGGGCCCAGGTGACCGGCGATCACCGAGCCCCGGAGGGGGCGTGGCACTGGAGGTTCTCCCTCCGCCGGGGCCGGCACCGGCGCCAACTTGCTGCGCCAGGGAGTGTGCTTCGGGTGGCAGGCTGTCGGTATCGCGACACAGGGACATGACGGCGGTGGTGGCGGTGACATTGGCCCCGGCCCCGGAGGCAGCGCGTTTCTCGGCGGCAGCCTCGGCCGCGGCCGACGCCTCGAGCATGGCCGGGGAGGCTGTCTGCCAGATGGGCGGCCCATTGCCGATGATGCTGAACCCGCTTGCCGGCGGCGTGCCACTGGCAGGACCCCCCGCCAGTGGCGACGAGGGGGCGGCACCGGGGTTGCTCGCGGCACCGGGCCGTGCCACGCGCGATCCCGACGTGGCAAAGCGCACGGACCGACGTGCATCGTACACGGCGGCCGCGAGGAGGGGCGAAACGTGGCTGGGGAAGCCGGCTGACTCGGCGGCCGTCTGATCGAAGGCGTCGGTTTGCAGGGCGGAGTAGCCGGCGGCCGCCATGGCCATGCGCCTTTCGGCCGCGGCGGCCGTCGAGTCCGCAGCGATCGGGCTCACAGGGACCGAGCTTTGCCGAGACCCGCGCACGCTATCGCGCATGGGCGACAGGACAGACACCCGGACAGAGGCCGCGCCGGCCATCGTTGACGGCCCGAGGCCCATGATGAGCAGCTGTTCCTATGTAAGCCGCAAAGAGCCCGGAAGGGGCGGGCGGGGGGGGGGGAGGGAGGGGGGACCTTCAATTAGAACCTTAGAGGATACGCCCCCCCCGGGAAGCTGGCAGAGGGCAGGCCCGGCAAGAGTGCGTGCAGGAGGCCGTTGGGGCAGCGCCGGGATGACATACCTTCCTGGGATGACTTGCTCTGGGAGCCCGGCGAAAAGAGAAAAAGACAGGAGAAAAGGCGCGCGCGCACGCGCGAATAGAAGGGGGGAGTGTGCCCGCGGCCGACCGCTCTGTGATTGGGAGGTGGGAGGCTATACGCAGGCCCTCTTGGAGTGGTGTTGATCAGCGTCCACCGGCGGACTATTGCGAGGCATGAGAAATAGGGTGTCAACAGTGGACCAACGCGTAGCTTTCGCCAAGAGCCTCCCCCCGCCGAGGAGTGCCGCCGTACCGGAAGAAGCCGAGACACAAGCCCCGAAGGAGACACGCCAGCAGGCTCAGGGAGGGAGGTGTAGCCCCACAGGCGTCGCTCGGGTGTGAAAGGAGGCAGGGGTGCGCCGGCGGGTGGCCTTTGGGGGAGGCGAAAAAAAGGGGAAAAGATCGGCGCTGGAAATCGAGCAAGAAGGAGCGAAGGCGCGAGGAGAGAGAGAGGGGGGTGCGTGGGGAAATTGAAACATGCCGTGGCTCGTATGGGGGATAATGTCTCAGAAAAATGACAAAATCGCCTGGCGATTTCCCCGGATGAGGCGGGGGCCGGGGCCCGGGTGGCGCGAGGCCCGAATGCCGGGGGGCGGGGTACCATGGGGCTTGGGGCGTGAATGGCATGCCATTGGGCCCGGCCGGCTGGGTCTGATGCTGAGCCTGCGCACCCGCGGTGGCCTGGCGGCTGCCCCCTCTCCCCCCTCCAGCCGCCTGGGCCCCCGGAGTCATGAAAAAGCCAGGACTATCGAAGACTCCGCAACCTCCATTCACTCGTGCCCCCTCGCTGGTCATATCCATGTGCCAAGAAGGGTTTACTACCATCGACAGGCCTGGGCATCAGCGAGGCATCGGGGGGAGGGACTCACGAAAGGCGGTCACACTGGGGCAACCCACCCCCCCCCCCCCACACCACCCCCGGGCGGTGCACTCATTGCGCCAGGCCGGCGAAATGATCGCCCTGTGGCTTGCGATTCAAATGGTCCCAGCGTGTGGAGCTCCGAGCCGAGATTTTAACATTTCTGCGCGAGGTACACCACGCAGGGCAGCCACAAGCACACGAGGAAATGGTGTCCACTCGACGGGTCGACCATTGAACCCCCTTTGCGAAACGAGGAGGCATGGGGCGGCGGGGCGAGGAGGGGGGCAGAGAAAGAGAGGGGAAAAGAGCGCACCGAGGTGGAGACTCGGACCAAAGCGCCATGATGGATAAATGGACGCCCACGCGGTGACACATTCCCCATGCGCCTCCCTCCGGACCGCTGCCCCCGCCGCCACGCTGTCTTTCACACATTCACACGCCACGAGATGCACACCCACTTCTGGGTCCCCTTGCCTCCTGCCTGACTTCGAAAAATGGCCCCCGATGTCCGAATGAAAGCCGATGGGAATCCCTTACTCAGAAGGCAGAGGGGGGGGGGGGGGGGGCGAGATCCCTATTATTGATGAATATTTCGACATAGAATATATAAAGAGCCGGAAAATATTGTTATTTATTGTAGCAAAGGATGCGGAACACGTTAGTTCAGACACCCCCTGAGCGGGGACGCGGGGGAATGCTCTCCTGGCCCGCCTTTGGCCAAGGACAGCGTGGCACTGTTGCCCCTACTGCCTCATCCATCGGATGGGAGCCAACTTACCTGCCCACATTCGCAGACACACACACACCCACACACACATATATACCTACATACACTTGTCCGGCGCTTTAAAAATGGAACAAGGGGAAGTCTCGCCTTGCTGGGGTAGGCGCACAGGCCCCATGGAAAATCTTCTCTGATCGATACAGTCAGTGTGGGAGAAGCGCCCCGCTGGACCCGGGAGCCGACACAAAGGATCCCTCTAGCCCCGCAAGTGGGGCACGCGAGCCTCACCCGCAATCACCCCAAACCCTCAATCATGGAATGGTGTGCCCCACCCAGGCGCAGAAGAATATAGCTATTAATTGATGGTCCAGTTAAAGGAGATTTTGGCGCGAACATCTTTGACTCGCAATGCCCACGCACATCCCAACGCCTTGGTGCGCAGTTATTCCCACCGATGCCCGGGCCTCCGATCAGTGGTGATATGTTGCCCATGTGATGTGGTCATGCCCCGGCGCATGTCACGCAGGAGGCCGATGCGTTGCTCGAGATGCACGCGGGGCCTCCCGGCCCTCTGGGCCCGCCTTCCGGGGGGGGCGCACAGGCGACATGGAGGGGCCAGGCGACCAGCCCCGAGTGGGGAGGGCCGCAGCAAGACACACCAGAACGGCCGACCACCGGACCAGAAGCCACCGCAGACCGTGGGCTGCAGCGTGGCTGCCGGCACGCGTGTGCCCTTCGACCGATGGGCAGGGACGGAAGTCTCTCCCCCCCCCCCCCCCCCCCTTGGGCTCGCGGCACCCCGCATTGCCACGGGCCCTCTCCCCTCCCCCTCCCCCCCTCTCGGACCGGGTGCCAGTGGGATCGCTTTGCCATTGGCGCCAGTAAGGGTGGGGCAGTCGCGGCCTCCGTGTTCGCGTGTGCGTCCGGGGGTGCGTGCGTGTCTGTAGGTCCGTCTCTTCTCGGGGTCTGCTCCCTGTCGAGGCTCTGGATCTCGGGGCCATCTGTCTGCACTCCTCTTCCCTCCCCTCTTCCTTTCCTGTCGCAGCACTCGCCTCCTCCTCCTCCTCCTCCTCTTTCTCTCTCCTTCCCTCCATACGCGCCGCCCCCCCTGCATTCCCCCTCCTCTCTCTCTCTCTCTCCTGTGCCCTTGAGTAGCCAGCCCCCGGATCCCTGGCGCCGACGTCGTCCACCATGAAGTTCGGCTACCGCGTGCGTCCTCCCCTCCTTCCTCTTTTGTCCTCGGTCGCGGTGGCTCCACTGTTGGCCTCAGGTCATCTGACATGGCTCTTGCCCATCTCGCCAACCACCACTGTTCCCCCTTCAGCTCTCGAACGTTTGTGGCACAGCATACAAGCGCGGCAACATCATCTTCTCCAAAGACGGTAACACGGCCATCAGTCCCATTGGCAACCGCTTTACCATCTATGACCTTGTGCAGTATGTGCCCCCATTTCTGTCCCATGCCATATGGCCCCATGCTCTCTCGCGGGCCTGTGTCTTACCCACCCGAGCTCCGCAGCAACAAGGCCATCACGCCCGATGTGCAGACCCGCAAGGATATCGCCTCGTTGGCTCTCTCCCCGAATGGCGCCACGCTGATTGCGGTCGATGTGGGTGCGTCTTTCTCCTCCCTCCTTGGCTCCCTTTCTCGGGTTGCTTCGGTGATTTCCCAGCTGACATGACCGCGGCCTGTCTTTGTCGACGCACAGACGGCCACGCCATCCTGGTGGACCTGTCGCGTCGTGTCACCCTCCACCACTTCAACTTCAAGGAGCCAGTCAATCACATCTCCTTCTCGCCGGATGGTCGGTATGTCTGAGCCCTGTCTCCGCCATCCTTGCATGGCCGCCGGCATCCCCATGTGCCCTTCGAGCTTCCCCCCCCCCTGTAGCCCGCCATCCTGCACCCGCCTAACCTCCCTCCCATTCGCTCGCACCATCTGCCCCTCTTGACCTCGCCCACCAAGCTTCTTTGCTGTCACCCACGGTAAGCTGATCCAAGTCTGGCGGGCGCCGGGTTTGCACCGAGAGTTTGCGCCGTTTGTCCTCTTCCGCACGTATGGCGGCCATCTGGATGAGATCAACCACATTGAGTGGAGCCGTGACAGCCGGTTCTTCCTGTCCAGCAGCCGTGACCTGACGGCCCGGCTGTTCTCCCTGAACCCGGAGAAGGGGTTCGTGCCGTTCACCTTCACCGGGCACAAGGACTCCGTGGTTCGGGCCTTCTTTTCGGCCGACCATCAAACCATCTACACCCTTTCCCGGGATGGAGCCATCTTCAGCTGGGGCAAGGAGCAGCTCACCAAGCGCGAGGCGGAGAAGCACATGCAGAATTACCTGCGCACCAAGCAGCGCAAGGCGCCGCTCATCTTCGGCGACCAGGACACCTCGACTGACGCCTCGGGGGCCAATGTCTTCAAGCCGCGTGAGATGCCCGGCTTCGAGCCCGGGCAGAGCATCTTCACCCTGCGCTCGGATGAGGAGGGCTCTTCCTCGGACTCGGATTCCGACTTCGAGGGGGAGCAGCCGCTGCAGGCCGGGCTCCGCAAGGGGGCCGGTCGCGCTGCCCCCGGCACCGGTGCCGCGCGGGTGGACTTCCGTGGGGCCACCTGGCGCCTGAAGGCCCGGCACTTCTTCAACCTGCCGGACGCCAGTGCACGCGTGACGTCGGGCGACTTCCACCGCGCCTCCGGGGTCCTGGTGGTGGGCTTCTCGCACGGTGTCTTTGCCCTGTATGAGATGCCGGACTTCACGTCGATCCACACGCTGTCGCTCAGCAGTCAGCATGGCATCACCACGGCGGCCTTCAATCCCGACGGCCAGTGGATTGCTTTGGGCCTGCGTGGGGCCGGGCAGCTGGTCGTCTGGGAGTGGACCTCCGAGTCGTATATCCTCCGGCAGTCGAGCCATTCGAATGGCGCGGTGCCCCAGTGCGTGGCCTACACGGCGGACGGGGCGCATGTGGCCACCGGTGGCTCGGATCACACGGTCCGTCTGTGGAGCACGCGCGACGGCAGTTCCGAGGTCACTTGGAATGAGCACACGGCCGCGGTGACGGACTTGGCCTTCTCGCGCGGGGGCCATGTCCTGTTTTCGGCCTCGCTGGATGGCACGGTCCGGGCGTATGACCTGCTGCGGTACCGGAACTTCCGGACCTTTGCCGCGCCGGAGCCGGTGCAGTTTGACTGTGTGTCGGTCGATCCGTCCGGCGAGCTGGTGTGTGCCGGCACTCGAGACACCTACTCGCTGTATGTGTGGAATGTGCAGACCGGGCGCTTGCTGGACGTCCTGTCCGGGCATGAGGGGCCCATTTCCTGTGTGGCCTTCTCGCCGGTGGATGGAAATGTCGTGGCCACCGGGTCCTGGGACCAGCAGGTCCGCTTTTGGGATGTATTCAGCGGCCGTCGCATTGGCGACCCGCTGGCCCTGGGGTCGGATGTCCTGGCGCTGGCCTATCGGCCGGATGGCGAGGAGTTGAGTGTCTCCACGCTGGATGGGCAAATCCATGTGTGGTGCACGCGCGAGATGACGCAAGTGGGCACCGTGGATGGTCGGCGGGACATTGCCGGCGGCCGAGGCGCCGCTGACAAGGTGACCGCGGCCAACAATGCTGCCAGTCGGCACTTCACGTCTTTGGCCTACTCGGCGGATGGTCGTTCGGTGCTGGCGTGTGGCGTGTCGCGCTTCATTTGCATCTACGACATCCAGTCGCGGCAGTTGCTGACGAAATTCCAGCTGACGCGGAACCGCTCGCTGGAGGGGGTGCTTGACAAGCTGAACTCCAGTCGCATGGCGGCCGGCGTGTCGCTGGATCTGATCGATGATGTGTCGGACTCCGAAGATGAGGAAGCCGCGCGTCTGGTTGGATCCCACCTGCCGGGTGTGCAGTCGGGTGACCTGTCCCGGCGTCGGACTCGGCCGGCCATCCGGGCGTATGCCGTGCGCTTTGCTCCGACCGGTCGGGCCTTTGCCTGTGCCACGTCCGAGGGGCTGCTGCTGTATTCGCTGGATTTGGATGGCGATGGCGCGGTGTACGACCCGACCGACTTGTCGGTGGAGCTGACCCCGGAAGCGGTGCGCGAGGCTCTGGCCGGGCGGGAGTACCTGCCGGCCATCATCATGGCCATGCGCCTCGGCGAGGAGTCTCTCCTGCAGGAGGTGTATGAGGGGATTCCCTTGGCATTGGCTCCGCTGCTATCGCGTCAGGTCCCGACGGTGTACCTGGCCCGGTACTTGGCCTTCATCGCCAAGCAGATTGAGATTACCCCGCACATTGAGTTCCACCTGGGCTGGGTTCGGGGCCTGCTCCGGAGCCATGCGTACATCATGCGCCAGTCGGCCGCCTATTATGGGCCCTGCCTGCGGTCGGTGCACCGGGCCATGACGGCCCGCGTGGCGGACATCGGTCGCGTGGCCGATGACAACCAGTTCCTCTTCGACTATCTGGCCGATATGACGAGTGTCGTGCTGAACGAGGCGGCCGGCACTGATGGCGAGTCGGACGGCGAGTCGGACGGCGAGTCGTCCTCCGCCGCCGAGCTGGAGGACAACTTGGCCGATACTGCCAGCGACGCTGAGATCGAGGACCAAGAGTAGAAATGCGGCCGTGACATCGACATACCGCTGCCGTGACTTCTCCCATCCTCTCCCTGGTATCTGTCTCTCTCTCTCTCTCTCTCTCCCGCCCTCGCTGCCCCTCTTTTCTCCTTTAGGAAGAGCAGGGGAGCCCGAATGTGTGCAAGTCGCGGCGTGCTGGGGGGGGGGGGGGGTCGTCGACCGGACAAGATGGGAGATAAGATGCGGCCGAACATGCGTCCGCGCGTGCAAAAGCGCAACGCCCTAATGGCTTGCGGCGGTGTGGGGACGCGATGGCGCGCTTGCGTTGAACATTTTTAGATTTCCCTTCCCTCCGCCCGGGGGCTGCCCTTGTCCCCCTTTTCATCCCCCCCCCCCCTCTCATCTCTCTACCCTTCCTTGTATGCCCTCATCTGTCCCCTCCATAGCCTTCACCGATGTCTCTCCTGTGCCTGCCCATGTGTGCCCCGCCTGCATCTCCCTGCTCCCTTGATGCATCAAGATGCTGGGACGAATGCTTGTCCGAACCGACACCCGTGCACCAGCACGTGCGTAAATGTCTGCATGCACACGCTTGCTCCTCCTCCCTCCCTCCTCCAATCGGCACTTTCTCCCTCCATGAAAAAATAATATACCCATCAACTCAGCTTGTCCAGGCCATGGATGTCTGCTCTTTGTCCTCGGCAACTTCCCCCTACCACCACCCCCGCCGCAATCGGCCCTTTCCCAGGATCTCTCTCTCTCTCGTCAGCGCGCAGATCGATGCCTGGGGTCCTGCACTGCACACGGACCCCCCCGACCGCGACATGGAGAGCCACCTCCGGAGCAACAGCAGCCGAGAGAAACAAAAATATGCGCTGGCAGCAGGATTCGAACCTGCGAAGGCAGTGCCCATTGGATTTCAAGTCCAACTCCTTAACCACTCGGACATGCCAGCACATTATGAGGGAGTGGCCTCGGAAATGTGTATTTGAATTCTTCGCCACGAGAACAGACATGTGGCTCCACCTCCCCGATAGGGCGGCATCGCACGCCGAATGGATGGAACGGGAATACCTTTCCGGTTGCCGCATCCCCCCCCC